TCTTCTCAGCTATTTTGTGGTTAGGTTTAGATAATGAAAGGTATATAAATAAGCAGTTCTAATCTTTAAGATGAGTTTGTATTATATTTGCTCCTACCTTTTTTTTTATCGAAAAAGGCTTATATATTCAAATTTTATTTTTGAGGTAATATTTATTACGCTTCTGCAGGTTTTATTATTTAGGTGTAGAGAAATTATAGGCCTTACTACTTACTCATTATTATTATGTATTTTTATGTTTAGGAACACAAAATGAGTGATAACAACTGCATTAATATTGATCTTAACTGTTACTTTTTGATTAGTGGTTATCAACATTATACTTGTACATTTAATGTTTTTAAAAGATAAAGTTAGAAAAAGTTTAATATCTCAAGTTCGAGCTAGCCTACTAGATAGATTAACTAATGCTAATTTTTGGCTTTGTAGATATTTTCCTACTGTTGAGAACTACTTCACAATTATGAATTCAGATAGTAATATCTATGACTATTTCTCTATGAATCCTAATCAAGATGTTGTTCATATTATCATAGAATTGTTACCCTCCTATTAGATAATAGAATTTTTTTTTATTTTATTTGCATCTGTAACAGTGATTTATTTTTTATTAGTATTGCTGTTCCAGCAACAATTTTTATTAAATAAAGAAAGGCTCGTTATTTTTATACGATTATGTATTATTAATATCTAGTTAATTTCTTTTTGTCTTATACTTTTACATTTACTATAGGGATTCCACTAAGGGATTTCTTACAACAATAGAGATGATACATTTTTTTACTACAATAATTTCCATCACCCTACCAACCTTCTATACCATCTCCTTTATATTCTTCATTATATGCTGGACATATTCCTGAATTAATATAATAATCGCTATATTCATTGCTATATTTAAGTGATAAATTATTGAATTGCTCCAATGTGGTATAAATAATAAGATTTCGTCTTTCTTTTGAATCATCGGGTAAGATAGAAATTGGAAGACGAGAATTGAAAGATGCATTTTTGTTTATAGGTAATATGCATACCTCTGTTTCTGATGAAACCTTTTCAGATAATTCACTTACCTCAGTTGAATCATTTGGATTCGTTTCCAGTAAAATATTATCCTGTAGAATATAGTTATTGTTATTAGTATTCGATGAAGATTTGTTATCTTCACTTATTATATCTTCCGAACTAGGGGCATGGAATGATTTAGCTGATATACTTGCCTTAATATTTGATACGTCTCTCAAGCTAGATGGTTTGGTCATGTGATTTTTGTTATCACTCGGATTAAATCTGGATTTTAGAGTAGATTCTGTCACATGAGTACGAGACTTTTGGTCATGCACTAGTATTTTGGTAGTATAATGGTTTATAATTACATCAATTTGTTTATCAGTTAGCTTTGAGAGTTTATTTGCACTATAAGATTTAATTCGACTAATTTTATCTTCTCCAATTGCGCTAAATAATTTATATATAGGTTTAGTTCTTTGAGTTCTTTTGCATAAGCTTGCATGAGAAATATCTGAAAGATATTGTAGCATTTCATCATAAATCTGCCTACTTGCTAATCATAGGCTCTCTTATCATTTCTTTGGTTTTCAGATAAGATATCATTAAGTCTTTTTTAAAATGCTTTCTATATTGGTACCAGCTTGTAATTTTTTCCACTTTGGCTCGTTTAGTATTATTTTCTGCCAAGCTTATTTTTTCAAATAGATGGACTAATTCGATTGCGAGTGATTGCTTATCTGTAGAATTTTTATCAACATTAACAACTTTAACAGTATCTTCCACTAAAGGTTCTATTCTTAATTCTTCTATTAACAGCTGTACATCTATTTTAGGGATTTTGTTTTCTGTAAGTCTGTATTTTGTTCTGAGGATTCTTTAGGTAAATTAGGAGTGTTACAAATAGATTGTGATTCCAAAATTTGTTTGACATGTAATTTATCATGAGATTTTTGTGAGCTATCCGAATATGAGTTTTGGGCTTGAGAAGCGAAAGCTTCATTACTCTGTAATAACTTCTTTTTCCGATTCCTTTCTCTTATTTCGTTACGAATCTGTTCATTACGTCTTTCATTTAGAAAATTATCAATCCTTTTATCTT